CTACTCTCAGGAGCTATAAACATCACAGCCAGACACTGGGCTAGTCACACTTCTCTGAAGTCTCTCAGCCTCACTCACCTCACAGAGTGTTTGTTGTGGGGGAGGAAGGGAAAGGAGACTGTTAGCCGCTTTGAGACTCCCTAGGGTAGTGATAAAGCGGGATATCAAATCCAAACTCCTCCTCTTCATCTTCTTCTTCTTCTTCTTCTTCCAGTACAAGTGAGATCATTGACACAAATGGAGACAACATTCATGAAACATATCGCTGCTGATCAGGTGGTCTTGAACTAGAAGAAGCAGTCAACATGAGAGAACTCTCACACCTTTGACTACCAAGGGGTCTGGCCTGACAACATATTTGCAGAACCTTGCATGGCATCCTAAGCCCCACACAAACTTGGCAGGGTGTGTGTGTGGGTGAGTGGGTGTGACCCTTAATTCACAATGCCCCTGAGAATGATGTGTCAGGCAAATTTGTTTTCAGAACTGCATAACTGCAAACACAGGCAAATATGGGTTACTTTTGGTGTAGTTTTCTTTTTTCTTCCAATATAGAGTGCATGCAACTCCAGATACTGTTTTGGAGGGCGGAGGGGTTGCATTCAGCTCTTGGAGACTTTGGCAGTCAATAAACCTTTTCAATATGTCGCGGAAGCTGTTTGGCAAGCGTAGGCGCAGTGCTGATCTCATCTCGGAGGCAAGCCACCAACCAAGAACCTTCCCTGACTTTCATTCCCCCACCCCACCCCCAGAAGAAAAAGGACAAGGCTGCCAATTTGCAGCGCAGGCTCGTTAAACCATGTTTGCAATTACACTCCACGGCAATCGCTCTTGCGCTTGCATATGCTAGGATGACTCAACAGTGGGCGAGCAGACATATGCCCATGCGCGCTCAGAAACACCCTTTTTTATTCCGGTTTCTATAGCCACTTCCCATCGAATCGGCTACCCGTCTACAGACACTGGCATCTGGAAACCATTACAGAGAAAGTCTGTGACAGGCAAGTCATTTCTTTTACGGCTTTGAGCGCTTTGTCAATGGGATGAAAATTACCCAAATCCCGCTGTGTCCTCCTGGTGCAACAACAACAACAACAACAACTTGAAATTGCTGCTTGTCATTTTAGCATTCCTGCAGCATCCACACCTAAATGAAACAGGGAGAAGGGGAAAGGGTTGCCAGACAGCCACACCCAACTCACAGCAGCACTGCTGGGGGAAAAGCCAGCTTAATGAACTTTAAAAAGAGGGGGAAATAAGGATGCTAAACTTGGGAGAAGGCTCAACTTTGACCTAGCTTTCTTTTTCTGAGCCAATCTTCTGTATACTTTCCTGCCCCCCGGGCACTGCAATTGCGTAAGAGCCTCCAAACAATTCAGAAGATGTTTGCAATTCCACCGCTTTCTCATGCACTCCGGCAGGCAGCAAAGCCAAAAGGTTTTAAAATCCTTAAAAATAATGAAACCAGCAAACGTCTGCTGCCCCTAGAGCGCCGCATGGCTGTTGGATGCTTCATGTCTGCGCTTAAAAATGTACTGCGTGAACTCAGTAAACATGCGATGGGCTGCAGCTCCCTGTGGAACGTACTGAGTCGGGGTAAAAGCAGGTCATATGAAAAACAGATTTTTATCTGTTCCACGCATAGGGAACTCATTTGACCCAGTACGCCGGCAGAAGGGAACTTTAGGGTTGGGGACTGAATGTGGCCCTCCGGGCCTCTCCATGTGGCCCTCAGAAGTCTCCCCAGACCACAACAATGTGGTCCTGCTCCACACCCAAAGTGGTTTTGCGTGGCTGGAAAGGGTCCTTGAATCTTGACGGTGCCTCTTGGCTAGAGATGAGAGTGTTGCAACACAGGTCTCTCCCTGACCCTCAAGTCATGTCCAGCCCCTCACATTGTGTCTGCAAGGTTTCCGGGAGTAGGGACGGCAGAATCTGTCAATTGCAGCATCTCTCCATTTCCCATTTCTCCAGTCTTAAGCTCTGTTCTCCACATGTCCACTCCAGTTTGTGATTATTATTACTTACAGTGTCCTTGTGAAAATTCATCAGCACCATGGTGTGAATTTCTCCTAATGTACACATACAGTCATACCTCAGGTTACAGATGCTTCAGGTTCTGTTTTTTCGGGTTATGGACCCGCTGAAACCCGGAAGCACTGGAATGGGTTACTTCTGGGTTTGGGGGGTTGTGCATGCACGATAAATTGCGCTTTGCACATGCGCAGAAGCACTGAATCTGAACCCGTGTGTGCGCAGACGTGCTGCTGCAGGTTGCGAACTCTGCAGGTTGCGAACTTGCATCCTGCACGGATCACGTTCACAACCTGAGCATCCACTGTATTTGATTGCTGGTTCCCCTGTGAGTTAAAACACTGAGCCTAGGACTTGCTGATCAGAAGGTCGGCGGTTTGAATCCCCGCGACAGGGTGAGCTCCCATTGCTCGCTCCCTACTCCTACCAACCTAGTAGTTCAAAAGCACGTCAAAGTGCAAGTAGATAAATAGGTACCGCTCCAGCGGGAAGGTAAACGGCATTTCCGTGCACTGCTCTGGTTCGCCAGAAGCGGCTTAGTTATGCTGGCCACATGACCCGGAAGCTGTATGCCGGCTCCCTCGGCCAATAAAGCGAGCTGAGCACCGCAACCCCAGAGTTGGTCACGACTGGACCTAATGGTCAGGGGTTCCTTTACCTTTACCTTTCCCCTAATATAATGAACTATTGCATGTTTTATGCATGAATATATACAGTTATATGCACACACTTTACTCTAGTATATGCATTTTTTTTTATTTTGCACACATTTCTTTATCAGAGAACTGCATTTACAGGCAACCCTACCAAATCTGCACTTTCTGAAAAAGCACATGAGCAAAGTTTGAAGGATTCTGTTTCAGCAAACAGCAGTTCCCTCTGGTTGCCACCCAGAGCTTCAGTACTGTATATTTAAAAAAATATTCCTGCAGAGCCTCACCCACCTGTAAAGCCAGTGTATTTCTCAGAGGTTTCCATGCCTAAGGCACCCCTCGCAGATTTCACTGCCCTACCATTTTTGAGGCCGAGATCTGAACTGTCAAGAGTCAGCCCCTCATATCTAGACAAGTTCACCAAGCAGATGGTGCAACAATTTCATAATGCATGTTAAACTAGGATTTATGAGCCTCTGTAAGAGGGGAAGGTTGCAACCCCTCCAAGGTCAGCTTAATCGTCTTTCTGACAACCATGTTTACTTATGGTGCCCTGAGTCACTGAACTGATTCTGCAAAGCTTGATCCCTACACAGGTTCATCTGGGAGTCAGTTCCATTGAGTTCAATAGAACTTCCAAGTTAAACAGAAGTTTAGTTTTCTTTTGGGGTGAGTTAAGGGTGTTTGGAAGTGTCTGGAAGTGAGAGCTGGACCATAAAGAAGGCTGATTGCCAAAGAATTGATGCTTTTGAATTAAGGTGCTGGAGAAGACTCTTGAGAGTCCCATGGACTGCAAGAAGACCAAACCTCGCCATTCTTAAGGAAATCAGCCCTGAGTGCTCACTGGAAGGACAGATCCTGAAGCTGAGGCTCCAATACTTTGGCCACCTCATGAGAAGAGAAGACTCCCTGGAAAAGACCCTGATGTTGGGAAAGATTGAGGGCACAAGGAGAAGGGGATGACAGAGGACGAGATGGTTGGACAGTGTTCTCGAAGCCACAAACATGAGTCTGACCAAACTGCGGGAGGCAGTGGAAGACAGGAGTGCCTGGCGTGCTCTGGTCCATGGGGTCAGGAAGAGTCGGACACGACTGAACGACTAAACAACAACAACAACAAAGGGTGTTTGGATGACTCCATGGTGAAAGAACATGGAGCAAGCCCTGTTCCACACCCACAGCCTCTACGTGTTTTGGGGAAGTATACATGTTTAGAGCCCTTTCTGATGTGCTTTGAACGCAGATGGCGGAGGCATGTCCACCGCACATTTCTGCACGGCCCCAAACCTGCCTCACAAGTTCTTCCAATACTGGGAAGGGGGGGGTTGCAGTGGAGGTTATCTGACCACCCCCTGCCCCAAATGTATCAATTGAAGATAAAATATGGTTTGAGCTGCAATGCGAAGCTGCTATGTTTTATCCTGCAAAGCTTTTGGGGGTCTCAAAGTATGCCTTGATTTTCCTTGCCCCGATCACCTTTTTTGGGGCACTCCATTACAGCTGAAAGCAAGGGTGGCACAGGAGAATAAAGGTAAAGGTAAAGGGACCCCTGACCATTAGGTCCAGTCGTGACCGACTCTGGCGTTGCGCGCTCATCTCGCTCTATAGGCCGAGGGAGCCGGCGTTTGTCCGCAGACAGCTTCCGGGTCATGTGGCCAGCATGACTAAGCCGCTTCTGGTGAACCAGAGCAGCACACGGAAACGCCGTTTACCTTCCCGCCGGAGCGGTACCTATTTATCTACTTGCACTTTGACGTGCTTTCGAACTGCTAGGTTGGCAGGAGGCACAGGAGAATAGGATGCTGCAAATGTCAAACCAGGTTTTTAAAAAACCATTTATTTGTGGCTGCCTTCACCCATTTCTTCATTGTTACAAAAGCTATTCAACTTAAAATAGCTCTTTTATGACAGCAGGAACGGTATATTGCTCTTTTATTTGATCTAATTGGCCTTTTTAGATAGTTATGTAAATGCAGCTGTCAAACTTTTTTTAAAAAAGATTCTTGCATGCACTCATTGACTGATTGCATTTATATCCACCTTTTGCTGCAATAAGCTGAAATACATGATTCTCCCAGATCCTAGTCCAACACTCTAACCACTACACCACACTGTTTTTACAGCTCCCCATGAATGAGGAGATATTTCCATTTTTGAGTTGGAAATGCCATGGATTGTAGCTGGGACCTTTTGTGTGCAAAGAATTTGCTCTGCCACTGTCTCAGTGACTTATAAAAAGAATCGCACAAATTGCAGAGTTGGAAGGGACCACGAGGGTCATCCAGTCCAACCCCCTGAAATGCAAGGATCTTTTGCCCCACATGGTGCTCAAACCCACAACCCTGAGATTAAGAGTCTCGTGCTCTTCCAACGACAGAGCTATCTCGGTAATGCAATTAAAGCAAATAAAAGCACACAATTATATCAAAACAGTAAGAAAACACACAGAGAAACTAAGTGCTAAAAATGGGAACAACACTAAAACCATTCATAGTTGCAAGAAGAAAATTAAAACAGCTCAAATGCCTGGTAAAATAAAAACATATTAACTGTTCACCCAACGGGTAAGGAGAGAGGGAGTGAACGGTGGGGGGCTACTGGGTTGTTGTTTTTATTTTTATTATGTATTTTGTGTTTTATTTTGTATTATTGTATTTTGTATTATTTTATATTTTATTATGTATTTATTATGGTATTTTGTGATTTTATTTTATGAACCCGCCTGAGACCCCCGGGTACAGGGCGGTATATAAATTCAAATAATAATAATAATAATAATAATAGTAATAATAATAATAACAACTGGGCATTACGGAGAAGGGCATTCCACAATTGTGGCACCCCTACTGACAAGGTCCTGCCTCGCATCCCAGCCAGCCATCCCTCTGAAGGCAAAGTGGAATGAAGGCCTCAAATAACCTTGATTAAACTGGGAGAATGAGATTTTCAAGCAGAGGTTGGGTGGCCATCTTGTCATGGATGTTTTCATTGAGAGTTCTACACTTCAGGGAGTTCGAATGGATGACCCTCGGCACCCCTTCCACCTCTACAATTCTACCATCCTATCTGAGATCCAAGACAGAATAATCAAGTACAGTGGTACCTCTGGTTGCGAACGGGATCCGATCAGGAGGCCCGTTCGCAACATGAAAAGAGCGCAACCCGCAGTGGCTCGTCTGCGCACGTGCGGGTTGTGATTTGCCGCTTCTGCGCATGACGTCATTTTGCACTTCTGCGTATGCGTGAGTGGCAGAACCCAGAAGTAACCCTTTCTGGTATTTCCAGGTCACCGCGGGACGTAACCTGGAAGAACATATCATGAAGTGGACGTAACATGAGGTATGACTGTAATCTGTAATTCTCTGAATAAGAGAGAGGAATACTCTGCCCACCCCACATGGGGGGGGGGGGAGCATTGGCTTTGCATTCAGAAGGTTGTGAGTTCAATTCCTAGTGTCTCCAGGTAGGGCTCAAATGCTGGAAAGCAGACAATACTGAGATAGATGAACTGCCTGACTCAATATCTTCCTGTGCTCCCATGATAAACCGCTCTATGGAGGGACTGTAGCTAAATTACAAAGTACTGGCAGGGTGTGTGTGTGGAAATCCCAGTCCTCAGCATCTCCATGGATGACAAGATCAGGGGGCAGAGGATGGGGAAGACCAGAGCTTTTCCCCCCCAGCTGGAACTCACTGGAACTCACCTGTCAGGTGGGCGCCATTGACATTATAAGAAAGCAAGGGAGGCATGGCGAGTTCTTTTTCTAGAAAAATAGCCCTGGGGAAGACCCTCCTCTCCCTGGGACCCCAGAGAGCCCACAACAGTCAAAGCAGACAATTCTGGGCTAGGTGTCTAAAGAGCCCAGACGGATATGATGCAGCTTTCTGCATTCCTCGTCAGACTTGATTTTGAGGAATAATAGCCTTTGATTGGAGACGTCTGTGATTTCTCCTCTGTGTCACAGACGGTGCAGAACCAACAGTGCCGGCTGAGTGTCCTATGTTCCTAGGACCTGTTATTAATACAGGGCCGCCACGCTGCTCTGAAATTACATGATGGGGAAGGGCACAGTGGGGATCTGTCTTCGGACCCAACCAACTCCCCACACCCTGTGGCCTTCCTCTCTACCTGGGGAAGGGCCTGACACACAGCTTTAAAGCCTGCAATTTTCTTTGGCCCACATTCCTTCCTCTGTTATTTTCCACACTGCCTGTTTTTTGTGTGTGTGTGACTTGGGAGCACCTTGGGGGCAGGTACCTGTCTAGGCCAGCGGGGTGTGTGTGTAATTTCTTTCTGTTCATCAAAACGAAAACTTTGCAACGATCATCGCGTACAACTTTAGGAGGAAGATTTGACCAGTTTGTTTAACACAGTTATTATTATCATTAGGGCTTTTTTTCCCCTGCCCAAACTCGCCCAAACTCAATTCTAGCACCTCTCAGGTGGGCGCCATTGTCATTCTAAGAGAACCAGGGGGTGTTCATAGAGAGTTCCGGCACCTCTTTTTCTAGAAAAATAGCACTGGTTATTATAGATCTCAGGGAAGTTAAACATGGTTTGCCCTTCAGGTACACACTGCATAAACAAACATGTCCACATCTGTGAGTCCAAATGGGGAAATCGAGATATGTAGTTCTGCAGTCCAGATATCCTGCTGTATTCTGGGCTACATTCTGTTATTCACATTTCTGTTCATATACAAAATAAAGATATACCAATCTGCAGTAAATGCCTCCATGTTTCTTTCCTTTTCATGTGCAAAGTTTGGGGTGTGTAAGTTTTTCAGTCAGAGTAACTGGGCATACTTTTGTACAATGGTACTCCATGTTTGCACCTTTAAAAAACTTTCCAGTAATTCCCCCACCTTACGCAACTCTGTACTGTGCCATGTTCTCTGATGGGATGGCACAAACAATGCCTTTACACACTGTTCATTTCACTGCTCTTACTGGTCCCTCCCAAGTCCACCAACGGGATGTTGACAAGTCATCTCTCACTTGCCAGAGGCAACTGGGTGTGTAGCTACTTATAACTTAAGCCTTAACCGCCACCACTGCAGCTGCCACGAGAGGAAATCATGGGCAACCAGCCCCATGACTTGCATTTTCCCTTTCCTATTTATTCCCTGCCTCAGATTTTCACAGAATCATAAAGTTGGAAGGGATCTCCAGGGGTCATCTAGTCCAACCCCCTGCAATGCAGGAATCTCAACCAAACCATCCATGACAGAGGACCATCCAGTTGTTGTACTTGGCATCCGTCTGTCATGAGAGACAACGGAGTGCGCCTCCAGTGGTGAAGTCAAGCCACTGCGTGAACAGCACCGGAATGGCCTCCCTGGGGCTCAAACCTGGAGATCGAACCTGCAACCTTGGTGTTAACAGCACCAGGCAGCGGTTCTCAACCTGTGGGTCCCCAGATATTGTTGGACTACAACTCCCATCATCCCTGACCACTGGTCATGCTGGCTAGGAATGATGGGAGTTGTAGTCCAACAACATCTGGGGACCCACAGGTTGAGAAACACTGCGTCTAACCCAATATGGCAAGGCTACCATATTGACAAACCATAATATGGGTGATGGCCCCATCATATGGAGGAGCTGTTCTTGCTGGTTTTGATCTTCTATCTTACAAGCTACTTTTAGAACACAGGAAGTGCTTTTTTTAGGAAAGCAGCCCAACCCCACTTTCCATGAGAAAGTACAAATATATATTTTAGCTTATTCGTTTCCCAGCTATATTTACAATCACCGGCCATTGAAACCCTCCAAGCAGCTGCTTCTATTCCTTCTGAATGGATGGGTGATAGAAGGGGGAGAAGCTTGTTCCTGACATCCTGTAATCTGATTGGACTATGTTGGCTTTGGAACTTGATGCGCACGGACGCTTCGTGTTCACATTTTGTGATCATGTTGGATGGGTATATTTCTCCATTCATCCTATTTATATCCAGCCTCTCCTCCGAGGAGATCAAGGCTGTATGCATGGTTCCCCTTCCATGACAGGTGTGTATAAAATAATGCACAATGCAGAGAAAGGCAATCAAGGGCAAACCTCATCTCCTTATACAAAACTAGAAACCGGAGCCACCCAATGAAGCGGAAGCTTAGAGGATTCCTGGAATTCATAGAACGGTAGAGGTGGAAGGGACCCCGATGGTCATTGGGAATGATTGCAGGAATCTCAACACACGACCCCCCAACAAATTTGAAACCAGACCAGACCCTGCTTAGCTTTGCAAATATGGTGGCAGTTTTATTGCTGCATCACTAGGAGGATTGAAAACAGATTACCAATCCTGAAACCTTCTGCGTACAAAGGCCTTTTCAGTAGTTGCACCCGCCCTGTGGAATGCCCTCACGGCAGATGTCAGTGAGTTAAATAACAGAAAAGAATTTTGTAGACATTTGAAGGCAGCCCTGTTTCAGGAAGCTTTTAATGTTTGATGCTGTTGGTTTTCCTATATTTTTGTTAGAAGCTACCCTGTGTGGCTGGGGCAACCCAGTCTGATGGGTGGAGTTTTATTATTATTATTATTATTATTAATGCTCTACCACTGAGCTACAGCCCTTCCCTATGGTCTCAGGGACCCTTTGGCCACTTACATTGATAAGATTCCACTTAGGGTTGCTTCACGCCTATATGTACATCGCCTGATATTTCTTCACTTGATGACTGGCAGATAAATAGCCATGCTGCCTCCATTGAAACACATGGTTTATCTTATGTAACTGTGCGGTATAAAGTAATAGATAGATAAAGTACAGTGAGATTAATTGGAAGTCAGTTTTAAATTTCTTCTCTATAAGTATATATGATGATAATTATATTAATCTTCTTGTAGCTTATAGTGTGGTGGTTTGTTTGAATTTTCTGTTACTTGTTTGTTTGTTTGTTTGTTTGTTTACTTGTATGTATGTCTGTTTTCTCATAAATGTATTTATTTTAAATTAATAAAGATATATTAAAAAAGGAGAAATACATGGTTTATCTGTGACAATGCAAGAGAATAGGCATGCCCTCTCTATGGGGTTAGATCTGTGGTGAACCATTCGCATGTGCACATCGCTGAGGGATGCTGCTGGCATCGAGGGTGGAATGTGCAGACAAAAGCCACCCCTCTGTCCGGCCACTGCTGCCCCCCACTTGGCCTGCAAGCAAACGTGCGAGGCCTCAGGGATGCAAGTCAGGGTAGTGGAGAAGGCTAGGTGTTCAACTGCACAAGGTGTGAAACTGCCCTGGGCAAGGGCCTTGCACTAGATTCTCTCTACTTTTTGTTGCCTTGCATGGTAGATACTGGGGTCAGGCTGTGTGTTTTTAGGGGCAACTGCGGGGAGGAGGAAGGGGACGGAAACAGCTATCAAACTGCAGCATAAACAACTCTGCAAAA